CCATCTTATACTGTATAATGTATGGCTGCTGTGTACTATGGGCAGTGTGTGAGTAGAGAAAGTGGGTAAAAAATATGGGTTTGGTGGGGATGGGAAATTATCATCGATCACTCTGGGTGTATGGTAGTTTTGATGTGATTGATTAACATAATCTCTTTACCATGTTGATGCTTGACCTAAACCAAATCAAAGCATATAAGTATTGGAGATGTTATCCACTCAGACACATTCTGCTTTAACTCCAGTTATGCAAACACTCTTTGTAAATGTTAAATTTTAGAAACTGTGCAATAATTTACAATCGAAAAAGGTGATAATTTGGGTTTTCTCCGTTCAGGCATGCATTAACTCAGATATTGTTAAATTACCCTAAACACAGCTATGAATTGCAGCTAATTCGAGCTAGGGAGATTATAAGACTTGAGCAACACATATACATACATACATACATATACACACCCACATATGTATAAATGTATGCATGTGTATAGTCGGGCCAGGCTCAGGCTATCTAAGGGTTAGGCCCAAGCTGCCCAAAAAGTAAAAAAAACCCAGAATGATGAGCCGAAGGACCAAAAAATCCAAACTAACTTGTGCAAAATGTGGGATGGGTCAATTTGGGATTGGGTTGGGCCCACTCAAGTTGCGCCCTTAATTGTATTGCATGACTTTATTTAGACAATTTATGGCGAATCATTCTGCTCTGAACTGTATTGATGGTGAAGAAAATATATAGGAGGTTTAATGGAATGGGATCCTCACTTTGGCTGTGTTTGGTTGCAATGCAAATTCATTTGCACTGATGCAAAATCATGGTAGTGCAAATGATTTGGTTGCAAGTTCTGATTTATTTTTGTTTCAAATTTTACCCTATTTTATTTGGTTGCATTAAAAATGAAGTAAACTAAGACTTAAAGCAGAATAAAGTAAAATTTAAAACAAAATTTGCATTTTTTTAATTTGCACTCCCATACATTTATACTAGTACAAATAAAATTACACAGCAACCAAACACAGCATTAAAAGATGATCGGGTCTTTTGTACAAATGCAAATTGTGTGGGTTTGGTTGGGTTTTTGTTAAAATTTGAATGGCCCCTTTAACTTACGTACCTGAGTTGCAACCCTAGTCTTATGATTAGTAAAGGTGCCCCAATTTGATTGATCAACTGGTATTATAAGAATATGAGATCTATGGGCTGTGTTTAGTTGCAATGCAAATAAATTTGCACTGGTGCAAAACTATGATAGTACAAGTGATTTAAGTGTAAATTAAAATGTGAAGCAGAATAAAGTACCCAAAACAAAATTATATGAAAATTTACAATTTTTTATTTGCACCCCATGCATTTAAACTAGTGCAAATAAAACTGCACTGCAACCAGACACAGCCACAAATTCAGCAATTGAAAGTGCAAATTGGGCTCAGTTTGGTAGAAGTATAAATATAAATATATACAACACAAAATCTTATATATTATATTTCTAAACCTTCTATTTACATTCACATATTTATATTTGTAGTTTTGTATTCCTAAACTAAGCCTTGGGGAATTCTGATATTTACCGACTTAGACCACTGTATCTAATTGGGCTTTTTATTTATTTATTTATTTTTACAATGTAAAGTGATAAAGTTAACGAAATTGACAATATCAGTTAAAACCTTTTGAAAATAGTGTGTCTGTTTGGCAATTCTTTTCCAGAATATCTATTACAAGATCTGGTAGTTAAAAGATAGGGTGAGCTTTTGTAAATAAACCTTGGAAGACCAAAGACTGTTTGGTTAAAATATTTTTCATAGATCTTAGGAAAGACCATAAAAGCTAGAAGACCGTTTGGTAATGTGATGAAAATATGTGTTATATATATATGAATGTCTTGTGTGGGGGCCAACAAACCTTTTATTTAACATGTGGGACCCACATACATTTTCTAAGGTGGGCCTACATACTACTAGTGGACATGTATGTGGGGCCCACATACATTTTACAGGGTGGGTTTGACATACCATTGGTGGGCATGCATGTGGGGTCCATGTGTGGATATGTATGTGGGGCCTACATACATTTTTGGGATTATAGCAGATAAGGACAACTTTAGGGCCCTAATATCAATAAAAGAAATACTTTTGAAAAAATTTCAAAAATAGGTTAACTTTATAAAAATAATATCAATTAAGGGCAAAAACACGGTTCATCTTCTTCCTCTTAAAATCTATTCATCCGCGTTGTCGTCCACCACCGCTGCCCTTGGCAACGCTTCCATCCGCCACTGCTGCCTCTGGCAACGCCTCTGCCTATCTCCGTCCACCTCCACCTCCGCCTCTGACAATGGGAAGATTCCTCGGCCATTTTTCGTATTGCCTAGTTCTCAAGATTGCGACAGGCGCCGAGGAACACCAAAGGGGCTAGACGCCCATCCAGACATCCACTTGAAGTTCTTCAGCCGAAGAACGAATTGGACTACTTCATTCATTGACTTCATAACTGGGGGAGTGGTGTTTGGGTCATGGCTGAACTGGCCCTACGAGACACGTGGCCACCTAGCTATCGCCCTGCCACGTCATCCTATCTCGACCGAGCTACGCTACCACGGTGGCCCCCTATCTTATCCTTCCAGCCACGTCAACTACACGTCATATGGATGAGCACAACTACAAATAAGGAGGAGTAAGGAAGACAACTCCGCTAGGGAATGAGACTCTATCCCGAATACCTCGGCGGCTAACCTCATCCCGACAACCCCGGAAGCCCAATCCGACCAGAACACAGATCTTCGGATATAAAAAGGTACTCCATGCTCAAGGTAAGGGCCCTGAACTTCTGAGACGGACACTACTATTTAGCTCGGACCAACATCCTTATAGCTTGGCTCGATCACCTACTACCTCCTACTGACTTGAGCGTCAGAGTGCGTACCCAGGGATAACTCCTCGGGCCTCTGACTTCTGTTTCCTTGATCACAGGTCTTGAAGCGCGGTCTCGTCCTTGTAGCTTGGCCCTGCCCTGCCAACAAGGACTATCTGGTTGCTCTCCTCAGTTCGTGCACCACCTCGAATCGAGCAGCATCAATACCCATTGACCAACTTTCCCCTTTTATTTACCAGTAAGCGAACGAGGCCTTAGAGTATTCTAACAAAGATGATATTTGTACAACTATGTTAGATAGGGGTGAGCATGGGCCGGTTCATTTTGGTTCCATGGTAGAACCTAGATCCTACCCTATAGGGGTCAGTTTTAGGTTTTTGGAACCGGAACCTACCCTATGAAGGTCGGTTCCAAGGTCGATTACGGCCTTGGTGGTTACAGGGTTGGTTCCAAGGTCTATCCATGGAACATGTACTTTTTTTACTGTCCCCCTTCACAAAAAAACATGTTCTTTAAAAACTTGGTTTTTAATAAACATAATATATAGTTTAAAACTTATATTATATTTATTGATTAAATCATATAACTTAATAGGTAGATTATCATTATATGGTTAAAAACTTATAAATTAAATTTAAATTTTATAAATATTACCTTTTACACTACTTATTGCAAACATTTAAATATTAAAATGAAAATAAATGGTCAAATCACTTAAGTAACTCAATGGTCAAGTGAAACCATGGCCTTTGTAACCATGAATGATTGGGTTCAAATCCTCACATCCCAAAAGTATTCTAGGGTATTTTAAGGCAAATTTGGTTCCAAGGCAGGTTCCAACAAGGTCAATTTCACCAAGGCCAACTAAGGCTGGTTCATCGAGTTGGTTTGGGTAGGGTAAACCCCTAGACCCTAGAATCGGCCTGGGTGGGACTCAATTCCAATTTTTTGGAACTGAACCCTACTTGTAACAGGTTGAGTAGGGCCAATGCAAGGTCGGTTCGAGGTTGATTCCGGGTAGAACATACCCATTTTCTCACCCCTAATGTTAGAAAGTTGAGAGGAAGTTATTGGAATTACCAAACTTCAACTTTGAGAGAGTTTTTGCAATGGTCATAAACTTTAGGGGAGGTTTTAACAATTTGTCCTATTCAAAAAACCTAGGTACAAACAATAATCACTCCTAAACATTGCCTACCTATTTGGTTGGGTAAAAGTATGATACCGGAAGAGCAATGATCATATCAATCATCTCTCTTCCTCTCTCTCTCCTTTTTTTTTGATATCATAATCGAATGTATAAATGTGGGGAAAATCTATGATGAAGAAAAGATATGGTATGGGAAGAGTTTTGACCAATCAAAACCCACCCATGAATTTTGATAAATAACACCTGATTGGCTATCATGTTTATGATTCTACTTGATTGGTCAGAAAAGATATCATATTTTTTCCATATCATAGTTGAACCCATAAATGTGTAAGTGAATTGAATGACAGGTCAATGAAGAGTTGGAGGTCCCATATAGGGGTGTAAATGGATCGGAACATCCAATCCAAAATCCGATATTTGGTCGAATTCGGATCACCCCTATTTGGGTCTTTGAATTGGATAGGATTCAGATCACCCCTTATCTGATCCGAGAAGATCCAATCCGATATATATTATATATTTATAAATATAAATAATATATATATGCTATTTATTTATTTATTTATTTATATTTTTATAAATTTGTTATATTATTTTATTTTTTTATAAAAAACACATATATATATATATATGATAAAAATATTTAAAAATATTCGTATTTTTTGTTTTTACTTTATTTAAATTAGCATAGTAAATTTCTTTTAATAATTTATTAATTTTTAAAGAAAATAAATCAGATCGGATCAGTTCCAAAACCCCTTACTGATATGATTTGAATTCAAATCGAATCCAATCATATCCGATCGGATCGAATCGGATTCGAATATACCCTGATTCGAATCCGATCCGATCCGTTAGCGTCCCTAGTTCCGGAAATGTAGGCCGCGTGAGGAGCCCATTCGCTCAGCTCTCGTTATTTTCGTATGGTCTCTCATGCGCAGTCCGCAGAATTCCCCTCCTCACTTTCTCTTGTCCCGTCTCCATTCTGGCTGCTCTCTCCATCGATCCATTTCCACAAACCAGGAAAGAATCCAAATGCGAAGCTCTGTCTTAAAATCGATCAATCGATCGTTGGGAATTCGAGAGGAAGAAGAAGATTACAACATCAACACAGAGGGAAATCGCAGGAGGAAATTGAGTAGCTACAAATGATTTGGTCGATCCTCCAAGTCTCCACATGAAGCGGAGGAAATAAATTGATGGATGAAGAGCTTGGCTTTGCATTGGATTCTACCAACACCAACCAGTCGCTCCTTCGAGCTTGGCAGAAACGCAAAAGGATAGTACAGAGGAAACCGATGCATTAACTTAAAAGGAGAGATCGGAACCAGAGAAATGGGGAGCTATAAAATGTGTATATTCTTCACGAGGAAGTTCGACTTCAACGAGGCTCAGCCTCCGCCGGACGTGATGGAGGCCTTCGAGAAGTTTTCGGAAGGAGAGTCTCATATGACAGCCGAACAACTCCATCGTTTCATGGTCGAGTTTCAGGGAGACGCCGACACGACAACCAACGATGCCAAACGAATTATCCATAAGGTTATTGATAAACGGCACGCTGTTACTAAAATCGCGAGGCATAATTTCAAACTCGAAGATTTCTACTATTATCTCTTCTCGGACAATCTAAATCCTCCTATCCATGATCAGGTTTTGCTTTCGTCTTCTCTTACATTTTCCTGATTTAATTCTTATTATTTTTTTGCTCGCTGAGCTTCCTTCAATTAGAATCGTTGTCTTTACCAAAAAACAAGAATCGTTGGGTCTCTCTCTCTCTCTGCAAAGTGCAGATTATTATTTTTTTTATGATTTTGATTTTATGGAAAAGGTTTTACTGAAAGAAGAATATTGATTTATGCTGACAAATAATTGTTAATCCAGGTTCGCCAAAATATGAATTTTCCATTGTCCCATTACTTCATATATACGGGTCACAATTCTTATCTCACTGGGAATCAACTCAGCAGTGATTGCAGTGATGTCCCAATCATAAAGGCACTAAAAAGAGGTGTTAGGGTAATCGAACTAGACATATGGCCAAATTCTTCAAAAGATGATGTTCATGTTCTTCATGGAAGGTATGGGATTCTTGTTCTAAATCATCAAATTATGGTATACTGTTCTTAGTTGTGGAGTTGTTTATTACAAATGCTATGGCTTTATTTTTGTAAGTTTTCTAGAAAATTAAGGCCGTGTTTGGTTTGAGATAAACTTTTCCTACCTTTTCTTTCAAATCAATTACAGCCTAAATGAACGAATCATTTCTTTATTGTTTTGGATATGGATAATCCCAACCCATAACCCCCCACCCCAAGTGCAGTTAGGATTCGATCCCAAATCTCTGCTACCACCACCAATAGACCTTACCAACCAGCTGGTTGGCACCTTGTTTTGATAGACTCAATATAATATTATATACTGAATATGCTTAAATATTTTGTAAACAATTTTTTTATTTTTATAAATAATAAACATGTTATTATTTAGTGTAAATTAAAATATCAATTAATAATTTATAAGAATATATTAAAATTATATACATATATGAATTTTAAGTACTAAAATAATTATTCTCTTATTAATATTTTTATTTGTATAAATTTATTGAAAGTAAAAAAATAATTTTTGAATATAAATATAATATTGGTAGATTTTTTTATTTTATTTATATTTATAAATATTAATTTTTAATATTATTCTATTTAATTTTAAGTTGGAACTATTAAACATAAACATATGACATTTCTTTAGATTGCAAGTTTACAAAAAAAGTGATAAAAAATGTGGCTTAGTGACGCACTCTAAATCAGAGCTTATACTTGGGTTTGAATCGCACCAATCACAACATTTTTTTCGGATATAAGTTAAGTGCACATTTGTGCATCACATGTATCGTTATCAGTCGATATGGTACCGTATTGTAGCAATACAGACAACTAGCATGATACAATGCCAGTCATAGTTAGGGGTGTCAACGATATTCGAAAATCCGATTTCGAATTCGAGATTCAACATAATCGAATAGAATTTGAATAATTCATATATGACCTGATTTGATTCGATAAATATCTAAATTTGACCAATTATTTGATTCGATAATTAATCAGTTGAATTCAAATCGAACTGAATATTCGAATATTTAATCGAATTCAAATTCAGATATGAATTTTCAATATCTATCAGATATCGAATCGAATTCAAATATTGGATTTTCTAGTCGGGTTCAAATTTGGATATTGCCTAACTTGATTCAAACTCGATATGTTTACACCCCTAGTCATAGGGTATCCCCTATTTTAATCCTTGGAAGTAACAATAGAGTATGAGAGAATGAACAGCTTTTGTTATCTTGGATTTGGTCCTCACAAGATTGTGCTCACAGCCTCACACCATTCATACCGTCCCTTGTAGTCTTTCATTAGGAATGTAGCCAATCTCCCTTTTATGAAGGAAAAATATATTTTTTAGGGAGATTCAAGAACATTAAAAATACTACATAACTTAGCCATATCCTAAGAACATTAAAAAAATCAATGGCTCTCCTTCCATGTGGACATTAGGACTGTAAATGGATTGGATTCAGATCAAATCTAGTTACATCCATATTTGCATTTGATTATGAAATTTTTTAGATTTGCATTTGTATGTATCTGATTATTATGTTGGGTTTTGGATCATCTTCATATTTAATCTACAACCATCTTATTGTGTTTAAAATGATAAAATAATAAAAAATAATAAAAAATGTAATTATTTTTAAAGTGTATATGTATATATGTATAATAAATGTATATAAATGCGAACATTAGGACTGTAAATATATGTAAAATAAATGTATATAAATGCAGACATTAGGACTGTAAATATATGTATAATAAATGTATATAAATGCGGACATTGTGAGATAGGTTACCTTAGATCTACACCAACCCCACACATAATGTGGACATTAGGACTGTAAATGGATTGGATTCAGATCAAATCCAGTTGCATCCACATTTGCATTTGATTATGAAGTTTTTTAGATTTGCATTTGTATGTATCTGATTATTATGTTGGGTTTTGGATCATCTTCATATTTAATCTACAACCATCTTATTGTGTTTAAAATGACCAAAAAATAAAAAATAATAAAAATGTAATTATTTTTAAAGTGTATATGTATATAGGTATAATAAATGTATATAAATATAAAGTTTTAAATTTATCAATTATAAACTTTATATAATTATACCTAATATATATGTATACATAACTATACTATATATATATACATAAAATAATAATTTTTAATTGGACTCGAATTTTAGTTGGATTGAATGGGGTTAAATTTGCATCTAATTCGACTATTATTATTTATTTGTTGTTAATCACTGCTTGACACCTCCATAGGGATCATTACTGTTATTAATTGGATGCAAATTCTAGAATCCAAATTCCAAATATATGTTAATTGGATTTGAAATCAAATTGAGCAATTGGATTTTCGAAGTCCACTAACAACCCTAGTGTGCATGTCCAAGCTAACCCCTAAGCTCAACCTGGAAACTATCTATCTATCTACACACACATGTATATAACGAATTTTATATTAATATATAAGTAGAAATTTTTATATTTTTCATAATAAAACTAAAATTAAATAAAAATTTTAGTTTATAAAACAAATCATAGTTTTATAATTAACATGGGTAAGTCTATCCCTGTCCCAAGCCCAAACAAATATTATTATGCTTGTGGTGTGGGCCGAGCTGGGTTAGGCAATGTATAAACCTGTTAATACAATATCCAAATTTGGCTGGAGATTAAGGGGTTAGGTGTTGAGGATCAACCAAAGCCCAACCCAAAGTCTTAAGCCTCTAGCTCGGAATTAGATTAATTTAATTATGACTACAACCAAATTTTATATATTTACTAATATTTAAGTAACATTTACAAAAAATTGTAACGTTTAATCAATAATAAAATAAAATAAACAAAATAAAACACAAACAGATAATATAAAAAAATAATTATTATTTTATTAAGTAATTAGCAGTAATTTATTTATTTATTTGTTAAAACTTATTAATATAATTAATCCAATTTACTAAATTATTAAGATATAGATTGATTATTTTAAACAACATTGCATTCCTTCTTTACCCTAGCCCACTATATTTTGTCATTACGAGACATATTACTCGTGTTCTTGGTGAATTTGAAATTTCAGTTTTATAGAATCTTTTGTTTCAGAAGCCGTCAGTGGTTTCCTTGATTACTTTTTTCATGAAGCAATCTCTGTTTCTGTGTTACTGTAGGACGCTAACTACTCCAGTGTCACTAATAAAATGTTTCCACTCGATTAAAGAGCATGCTTTTTCTACGTCGCCATACCCCGTCGTTATAACTTTAGAAGACCACCTGACTCCAGATCTTCAAGCTAAAGTAGCTGAGGTGAATAGTTTTTTTTTTTTTTTTTTTTTTTCTTTGTGGATTTTACCTGCACATCTTGTTTTTAATTCCTTCCTGACAATAAGAAATTTTAATTCAGATGGCCACTGAAACATTTGGAGATATGCTGTATTTTCCTCAGGCGGAATGTTTACTAGAATTCCCTTCGCCTGAAGAATTGAAGTACCGGATTATTCTTTCAACCAAGCCACCAAAAGAATACCTTGAGTCCAAGACTTGGATGAATAGGGGAAATGACCCACAGGGAGGAAAAGATTCTGATGAAGAACCATGGGGAAAGGAAGCTGTAGACCCAACAGCTGAATTTGAAACTGATGATAAGGTGTGCTTACAGAAGCCTACTTGCTATACTTCTGATTTTGCACAATAATTTTAATGTCTTGGATGGCTTTGAATATTGCATCGCTGAGTGCTAGAATGACTGTGATTGGAATGAAAACAATCAGGATGATGAAGATGCCGATGACGACGATGACTACAACTCACGCCAGTCAGGGGCACCCCAGTATAAGCGCTTAATTGCTCTCCATGCTGGGAAACCGAAGGGTAGATTAAAGGAGGCCCTAACTGTGGAATCTGGGGGAGTTACACGCCTTAGTTTGAGTGAACAAGAACTTGTAAAGGCTACAGTATCTCTTGGACCTACACTTGTGAGGTATTTTAGTTGTGTCAAGTCAAATATCAAAATACATAGTTTTTCATTTAGTAATAGGGTTGTGGAATCTTTTACTTTGGTTACTGATCTATAAGAGTGAGTTTCTTCATGTCATTGACCTGGACGCATGGTGTTTGTGTTTCTAGATTCACCCAGAAGAATTTTCTGAGGATATACCCAAAGGGTACACGTTTTAACTCCTCTAATTATAATCCACTAATTGGTTGGATGCACGGAGCTCAAATGGTTGCATTTAATATGCAGGTCAGTTTCTAGATAAAATAGCCACCAGATTTAAATATTCTTCGAATGTGATGCCTTTGTTTTCTTTTCTTTTTCTCTTTTTTCTTTTTTTTTTCCTGCTTCATGTACCCTAAATAAATTGCATTATCACCTCTTAATTGCCAAATGGTGCTATACTTTTTTTTAAAGAGATTATATCACTTTATTTGGGCAACCTTAGTTATCAATAGTCACCATTGCAACAGGCTTCGGTTTTTTTAGGTTTCAATTGTGAAAGGGTTTCTATTTCACCCTTTTCAGAAGGTAGAGTAAGAAATGGAATATTTCCAATCATTACTGAAACTGCTCCAAGTATTATTTATTTGTGGATGTGATTGAGTGGTTCCGCTTGCAAGTCGTGGGAAGGTAATAATTTGTGTGATAGTTCATATCATCTTTTGAATCAGTTTCTCCATGCTAAGGTTAGCAACTAGATTCATGTTTACACCATTTCTGAAACAGTTCAATTGGGACTATTGTCAGTTAAACTTAAAAGAGTCATCAGGGAAATGGAAATATAAAGGACTAGACCAGATAATGGGATAGGAAAAAAGTAATGAGAATTAAATCAAGTAATATTTAGCTTGGAAAATCTAGATTGCAATACCAAAGGTAAATTTAATATTAGTATAAATTTCAGATAAAGTTTATGAATGTTTGGAGGAAAATAATAAAAAAAATAAAAAGCATACCCTGAGGTTTCTCAAGTATAGCTGGCTTCTCGTGGGATTTTGTACTAGCATCAGTTATCATACATACCTCTGAGATTATTTAAATTCATCAAATTGGAAACATCTAATGTCATTCAAAAAACATATTTAAAGATAATTGTACGCCTTGGCGAGCTTTTCCTTGGCCAATAAATAAGCCATGGTCAAAATGGTATTTAAAATATACTTATTAGATAACTTGTCTTGTCCTTATGACAAATTTTTAAGAATGGAGATAAGGGATGCTTGGTGTTTACAAGGCACTTGAAGATGAGGCTCATTTCATCGGGTGTGCTTCACCTGGTTTGTTGCCATGTCTTAATTGATTAACCTTGAATTTAATATTTACTAGGTAATTTATTATATTAATTATAGGTCGTACTTTCGATGTTTAGAGTTTAAACAGTTAGTCTATGTAGGACTTGAACGTACAAGGTTAAAATCTTTAGGTTAACAACATGTTGCATGATGGCATGAAAATTGAGCTAAAAGGCCCTTTGAGATACTTATTCCTTGATTTGCATATATTTTATTGGATTTTCTTTTGTTTTTTTTTTCACAAGTATCCTTGCCTTACCATTGTCAAAATATCAGTGGTGATCATTCTATACTAGAGATTACAGGAGAGGCAATTGACTTCATTAGAGACCTATGAACTCTACCATAATTTAACCAGTAATCAAATAAATAATTATACAAACTAGAATTCAATAAAACTAATGTAGCATCAATGAACTGACATGCTTTAGTTACTATCAGTTAAATCAAATTGTACACTTTGCATTTTAATTTTCACCTTCTGTTCCTTTGGAAACTGTACCTTCCAGCATCCTTCTCTAAGGTTTAGCGTAGAAACTGTTTTCTGATATTTGCTATGTCTAGAATCAATCTGTTAGCCTTAATTTGACAGGGATATGGGAAATCACTCTGGTTAATGCACGGGATGTTCAGGGCCAATGGAGGGTGTGGTTATGTGAAAAAACCTGATCATATGATGGTCGAAGAATGTGATCTTAAAGTAATATCTCCAGTTAAGAAAACATTGAAGGTGAGTGGATTATTTGAAATCACTTTTAATTTCCGTCGCGAAATTAACTGTAATTAGAACTAACATTTCACAAAACAGGTGCGAGTATACATGGGTGATGGATGGCATGTAGATTTCAAGAAAACACACTTTGACTCATACTCCCCTCCAGACTTCTATACAAAGGTAAAGTGGTGGTCTAAATTGGGATAAAAAAACTCTGATTCCTTGGTCACTTTTATTTTATGAATAAATCATGCTCTACTTTCTATTTAATTGGATATTGAATTTAATCTATGGAATATATTCAATTTAAAATGTTCTATTAGATTGGAAAGGACCCACATTATATACATCAGCATGATTACTAATGAGTCTACTGGACCATATTATGCTGCATTTGTTTGTACATAAGAGAGCAAATAATGGATGGTGAAAAGTTAAAGCTAGATCATTTGCAGAAAATAATCATTGTTTTTGGAAAAGCAATTTTTGCATGTTTGGTTGTACATGATTATATAACTAGCTTATTTTCTTGTAAACTAGGTCTAATGTCCTGATAATGATTAATACTGAAAGTGTTTGTAACTTAGGCTCAATTTGGAAGGAGTACAAATACAAATATGTTGACCGCAAAGCCTTGTATTTTGTATTACTTTGTACTCTTTCCAAACTGAGCTTTATTTTCTGCTTTGTTCCATGTAAGCAAATGAGCCATGGATGGGAAGTAAAGATATGGTCCTTAACTATTACTGGAAAGAAGAGATGATTTTGAAGCATCCCATGCTCAATAACTTAATGGCATGCTACAGATGATTGACTCAAGCACAATCTTTTAGCATATTCTTGCCTCCTGAAGTTTTGAAAAACACTTCAGACTACAAGGATAAATATTTTGGTGGCACTGAAAACATTGAGCACATAGCTCGGACTGGGACCCCAAGGGCTGTCAAAATGTTTACATACTTGATCAGCCAAGTCTGATTGCATTATACACCTTATCCCAATCCTGTGATGGGCTTAGCATGATTGGTCCATGCCCATACCCTCTGCTCAAAATGGGACTTGCACAGGCACTTGAGTTTGGCAGTTAATTTTGTTCTCCAACCGTAGGCCTGTTGTTGGACTAGGATTTTGGCAGGCTTGAGAATATTAGATCCCTCTCAGCCTGTCCTTTGCTGCTGCTAATAATTGATGCCCACAAGTTCTTGCAGAAATTCAAGCCTGAGAGCTTGCTGATCCTGTTTTTTCCCATTGACATCTATTTCACATTTCAAGTGGCTCTCATGGGAGAGCAGCGATGAACTTGGCTAAATGAGTTTACTTCCTAATCGTCCAATATAAAGACATTTTTCTTCTATTCCTGCACATTTTATTATACTTATGATCTAGAGGACTGAACCTTTTAGTTTCTTCTTTGTTGATAAGTTGAGGGTACTAAACCTCTATCCTGCTTGAAAGTCCAAGAACAATTAACATGACCAACAATAATCAAATGGTCTCGCTGACGATCTTATTCTTGGCAGGTAAGAATAGCAGGAGTGGAAGCAGATTACGCAAAGGTGAAAACAAAGGTAGTGAAGGATGACTGGGTGCCAGTATGGGATGAAGAATTTGAATTCCCACTAACTGTGCCAGAGATGGCTCTGCTTTATATTGAAGTGCGTGAGCATGACAAGCATGAGAAGGATGATTTTGGTGGTCAGACATGTTTACCTGTTTCAGAGTTGAGGACTGGGGTTCGGACAGTCCCACTCTTTGACCGCGAGGGAGAGAAATACGAGACTGTGAGGCTTCTTATGCGATTTCAGTTTGTATGACATTTATGCTCTAGTTAGTTGCTGGTTGTGTTTCCTGTCATAAATACAGAAAGTGCTTTATGCACTCTTGGGAACACTCGATCAATGATAGGCAGATTGGCGTGCAACCAGCCTCTCCATAATTAAATGGGTTGGATCCCACATTCAAGGCAGTTATGTACTAGGATGCAGTTACAAGTTTAGCTCAGGGAAAACATGCATTCTACTGCTATTCTTCTGTATTTCCACAGTTGTTTTGTTGGGCAAGATCAGTTGCATTCTGAGAGATGATAGTGTATATAGTGTATATTCTGGTGTAAAGTTCCATCATTTTTTCTCTCTTTTCCAATAATCTTCCAGCTTGTTCTTTAATTTCCTGGTATTTGGACTTGATTTTCGTGTGGCTATATTCTTCCCAGACTATGACTCCACATATCTTCTTGCTTAATTTGATACTTGTTTGCTTCAAAAATCCTTCTCAATCCTGAGATGATGCATGGGTTGGTCCATAACTCTTATTATCATTTCTTGTTCCTTGTGCATTAGCCTAGCATTACATACAATTCAACAACAAATGAAAACAAAAACAGTCACGTTGTAGAACACCCCTAAATTAGCTAAAAAATATCTGGCAACCGGTATTTAGTTAAAGCTAGGAGACATCATTTGGATTTGGAGAGTTCACATCTGCGCCCCACAATGTCCCTCAGCACATCCCCGCCGTGTATTGTGAACATCTCTCGATGATAGTACCAGAACCGATGATGCCATCATCGGGAGATGTTCACAATACATGGTGGGAATGTGCTGTGGGACATTGTGGGGGGCATATCTGAACTCGGATTTGAACGAATACCAGGAGGTTAAGTGGTTAACTCAAAAAAAAAAATGCTTTCTTGCACCGATGCCCCACACATGCTATAGTTATTGCCATTGGGAGATGCTCCCAATACATGGTTGGGATGTGCTATGGGGCACTTATGGGGTGCAGATGTGAAATCCCCTCCACCCTATGTTCCTACATCCTAATATATGTATGGTTGGGATGTGCTGTGGGGTGCAGATGTGAACTCCCCTCCACACTTTGTCCCTATATCCCAATATACGTATGGTTGGGATGTGCTGTGGGACACTTGTGGGACTCTCTTTGTGGGGTGCAGATGTGAACTCCCCTCCACCCTATGTCCCTNACTCTCTTTGTGGGGTGCAGATGTGAACTCCCCTCCACCCTATGTCCCTACATCCCAATATACGTATGGTTGGGATGTGCTGTGGGACACTTGTGTGACACTCTCTGTCGGGTGCAGATGTGAACTGCCCTCCACCCTATGTCCCTACATCCCAATACACATTCGGTTGGGATGTGCTGTGGGGCACTTGTTGGGGTGCCCTCTGTGTGGTGAAGATGTGAACTCCCCTCCTCCACCCTACACAGGTGGTTATAGAAATTGTAAGGCATCAATTATCTGCTGCATTTAGGTAGGCCAATGGCAACAGGGCTAGACGGAGACAGGGAGCCACTCCCCATCCTCATCCCCATAGGGATCCCATTCCCCACTCCGCACCATTTTTTATGATGTTCTATTCCATTCCAAAAAGAATTTAAAAAAGCATATATGATAGCATTTGCGTTGCAAATTAGTTCTTGATGGTTATGGTGTAATTTGGATTTAGAAATGCAATTTGGGTTTGGGAAACTGGAGAACAAAAAGCTAAAAACACGGACTTCTTTCCCAAGTTTTGGGCCAACAAAATATGCACTTTTTTGTGTCTCCATAAGCTCTTTTCTCTTTTTGCTGCGTCCAGAAGCACTTTTCTTGTTTTAACGTATTTATATGGGAGTAGGTCTACTTGTCAGATTGTTTTGTGAAGATGGCCGAATGAACATGACATCTTTTAATTTCTATCGGTGTGTATCGATAGCTGATATCTTATTCTGTTAACTTTTTATTTTATTTTATTTTATTAATATTAGATGGATGTCGTCTGTCATCTCAATTTCTCAAAGTTCAAAAACTTTGAAATTATTATGTCTAGATGCACTGAGGCTGCACAATTGGGTTGGGGGTTGGGTTTGATTGAGAATTTGCTAAATTTTGAATGGGCCCGAGCCCAATCCAAAATTGAAAACCCAAAAACTCAAACGCTCCTTGTACTATTCTCTGTTAACGGGGCAAGTTTCAGCCCAACAATCCTACCATGCAGGGAACCACTGGATCAAGTTAAGACTTCGTCACACAAACAAACCTTAATTTCTATCAAATGAAAGAAACCCGTAGTCAATCCAAATTGTTCATCCATAAGGGAATCACTGGATTGGTCACATATTTAATCCCACAATTCGGAAGTGGTCTGTTTATTATTCCAAGGTTCTTCGTGGTCTTGAAGATTGCTGATGGTGATGGAATGGAGAGGTTCTCCATCATCACTACTCCAAAGCAAGTCCTAATATCAGATTATCAGTTGGGTTCATTCTTGTACCCTGGTTGTTTGTTAATCTATTTCTATTTTGTTTGGAGTTTGAATTCTGTATTTTTCTATTCTAATGATTTCATTTTAGGTATCTATTTGTATTAATCATACATGAATTGAATAAATATATTCAGGAGGAAGTTCCATGGTGCATGTTGTTTGTAAATGATATTGTTTTAATTGATGAAATTAATGAAAGATTAAATACAAAATTAAGTTTATAGACAAATGACTTTGAAAGAAGAAATTTCGAAATAAGTAGGACTAAAACAGAATATCTGACACATAAATTTAGTAATAATAAGTATCAGTCAAGAGACATTTAAGATTGGAGACCAAGAGATACTCAATGTGACTATTTCTGATGTTTCAATAATCATAACAAGGGAAAGATTGAGGAGGATGTCACCCAAAGAATTAGAGCATGAAATGGAGGGATGCATTTGGACTTTTATGTGATAGGTGAACACCACTTAGATTAAAAGGAAAATTTTATAAAACAGTTGCAAGGCCAGCCATATCGTATGGAAGAGAGTGTTGGGCAGCCAAGAAATAATATGTCCAAAAAATGAATAGCAGAAATGCAAATACCAAGATGCATGAGTGGGAAAACTAAAAAAGATGGATTAGTAATGAAGTTTATCTTAGGAGTAGCTCCAAATCCTCCAATAGGTGATATAATGAGAGAGAGTAGACTAAGATGTTTTGGTTATGTGCATGGAAGACCACCAATTTCGTCTAGGCACAATTTCGTCTAGACCACCAATTTCGTCATCCGATCTGATTATCTCGTATTTGGATGATGTGTTTATGCAATCGAATCAGATTCAAATTTTGTAATATGCATCTGATTAATAATCAAATTGGATTCAAATTTAACTCCATTAGATCCGATTAAAATCCGAATTTGATTATATTATAATATTTATTTATTTTAATTTATAAAATATAAAAGTTGAAAATTAATTAACTTTTTATTTTTTTTATATTTTAAAAACTTAAAGTGGAGTTAAATAAAATCTGAATTCATTAGGATTCAAATTCAAATATGAGGTCGTCAAATTTGATTGAATTTGGACACAAGTTTTTAATAATTGAATTGAATTTGGATTTTGCTTATTCCAATCCGAATTTGATCCAATTACAACCCTAAGATGATGATGAATGATTTCATTTTAGGTGATTGTGTTTTTTTTTTTCCTTTTTGATGATTTTTAAGTAAGGAGATGGTATAGCACCTAGTGATTATTTTGCAAAATGGGACATTTCCAACTGTTTGATAAATTCACTTTCAGATTCATTTAAACTGAGCAAATTTTAAGATAAAAAGTTGGATCAAATTCAATCCTCTTTCTATTATGTTTTTGAACATTCAGTTGAATTGAAGGGCTTCATTCATAGGAATGGCAATAGGGCAGGGTGTGGATGGGGAGCCATTCCTATGAAAATCTCCATCCCCGTTCTCATCCCTGACAATGGAGATAGGGCTTTCCCATCCCTGTCCCCACAAGGATCTTCACTCCCTGCTATTTTTTTATAATGTTAACTTCATTCTATTTTTTTATTTTTATTTAATTTTCAAATAAATTAAAATATTTTCAAACATATTCAACCATATTTTTGAAAAAATTATTAATATAAATTTTAAAAATATTAACATATATTACTAACTAGGGATGCCTGTAAAATGGGGATTGCTCTCCCCACCCTTGCCAATAGGGATGTAAAATTCCCCATCCTTATTCCTATGGGAGAGAAATCATCTCCATCCCTGACCCATTTGGGGTGAGTCCCCGCAAGGATGGGAAAATGGGGAAAGTTGCCATGAATAGAATTAACATATTGGAAAACATCTATTCAAATAGTATATGCTTATCTCATTGGATTTTTCTTTTTAAACTGATGTGTTCAAAGTTCAAACAACTGATAATTGTACCATAAATCTTTTCTGTGGTACCTTCTCAAGTGTTATTCTTTTTAATTTGGAACTATTTTGGTTTTGGGGGGTTCAAGTTTTGCTGATTTTATTCTTGACCATGAATTTGATAAAAAAAGAGGATCCCAGTGTGGAAGGCTTTATCCCCTCCAAGGCTCCTAGTGCTTGAAGCATCTTTTAACGTGGCTCTATATGGAGAAGCTCTTCAGGTCAAAAAAGAACAGCAGACGCCATCCTTTTTCCTCCACCAAAGTGAGAAAGTTTTGTACTTTTAGTCTTTTTTTTTTCTCAATTCCAGAACTTTACATGCGAATATGTAAAACCTAATAACTATTTGGACTTCCATGATTGAGTGAAACCACTGTTAACTATTTGAGTCCTTGTCATTCATTTGGAGTTTTTGGATTGAAGGATGATGTTGATGATGATAATGACCTGATAGATGTAAAAGATGTAAGTTCATTTGTGAAATTAAAAAATATACATCAGCAAGAAGACAATTTAGATTCTACTCAAAAAATAATTCTCACAAATGATTTCAAACTCATAAAAATAGCTTATTTCGTTGGTATATGATAAAACATTTACTATTTAGGTGAAGAGAATGGCAAAACATGACTCATGCAACTAACCTCATAAAACATTTGGGTAAAATAATCACTCCATCATTCAACATTCAGCAATCGAATTAAGGTCTCATGTTGCTCAAATGCTGACCATCATCATCATCATCATCACCTAAACTTTACCTAAATATATGGGGTTGGCTACATGAATCCTATTTTGCCATTCTATTTTATTTAGTGTCATATTAGTGTCTTATCCATTCTTAAATTATGAACACTTAAAATCATTCATTACTACTTCAACCCATGTCCTTTTTGGTTTACCCTTAATCCTTCTAGCCCTTTCAATTTACAACAGATGGCTTCTTCTTAGGGTGCTCTAGATAGTCTTTTGTGCATGTGCAGGTCACCTTAATCTAGTTTTTCTCATTTATCACCTATTGGAGATACTCT